ATTTACTGAAACGCGGAGGGGCCCGTGGTGGGTAGATGCGATGAGACTGGTTGAGATTAGCGTGGAGAATGTATGACCGGTGTGGTTGGGGATAACTTTCCAAGCGCTTGGTTACCGCTGTCAATAACTTTTTTGGAAAACATAGAGCACGAAGATATCGCGAGAGGTGGTACTGAATATATGCGCGAAGTTTTACGTTTGTGCGCCAGGGGTGCTCTCTTGAGTGAAAACCTAGCCTGGAAGAGGCGTTCCACTCGCTTCGGAGAGTCCTCTCTAACCTACTGAATGAGAATAAGGCTTAGTGTAAACAACCTTGCCAAAAGGAACCGAAGGCGATGGTGTTCTGATGGAAAAGGGAAGAGTTATCAATTGTAGGCGGGGGGATTCAAAGCGGTGTTTTTTGCGAAGATGGGGAAGAGTTTATTGGAGGCACTGAGTCTCGTTGTGTTTTTTTTGTCCGTGAGTAGGGATTATTTTACTGAAACGCGAAGGATGAGCCCGTGGTGGGTAGACGTGTCATTGGAGACTGATTGAGATTAGCGTGGAGGATGCATGACCGGTGTGGTTGACCTCATGTTGTGTGACACTCGGGGAAAAGGATAAGTTTTCAGGCGCTTGGGTTACAGCTGTCGATAACTTTTTCCATTTGAACAGTAAGCGAGGGTTAATGGCAAGAGTATTGGCGCGAGGAAATCATAGAGTACGCATCGACGAATTCGATACTGCTGAGAAGAGAGCAGGAATGAAGATATCCAGGAACAGGTTAAGGAACGGCTGCGGTTCGATGCAGCTAGACGTTACTTTACGACGAGGGTCGGGGGAAAAGATGGCTCGCCGGTGATATTGCTGGGGGTGGTATTGATAACGCGATTATGCGTGGGATAACCCATATGGGTGGTTGTTGAGAATACAGCTGATGAATTTGAAACACGGCCGTAGCTCGTGTACGTTGTGTATTTGGAGGACGGCCATATACGGGCGAATGACTGAGAAGGTGTATATTGCCCGTGGCGTCTCTGACTCTGAGTCATTTTTGTGAGAGGCATGCGCGAGGTTTGTGTTGAGCATCGTGGGTACGGTGATGAGAGGTGTCTGAAAATAGATGTGGTCTGGACGAGATGTTTTGTATAACGCAGTTCCATTCTGCGTGAGATATATGAATTTGCACAAGGAAGGAAGGCGAATCAATTCTATTAAGGTTTCGATGATCGAGCATTCTCACACTGGTGAGATATCAATGAAATGCAGAGTTTGAAAACGCCGCACCTTGTGAATTTGAAAGTCGAGAATTCGTAGCAGGATATTCAGGGAAAGGTTGGATGAACGAGGGTGTCAATGAAATGAATGCCGTGGGGCTGAGCTCTCGTCGGAGATAAGGTTGGTGAGATAGCGTTGCGGATGGCGTAGGAGTCTGGCACCCAAAAAGGCAAGTGGTGGTTTGCTTCTACCGTCATGGACCAGACGGCTGCCAAAAAGACGCTTCAAGAGCTTGTGAAGCGGGAAGATCTTGGGAATCGGGTGTGTGTGGATTGTGGGAGCCCGAATCCGCAGTGGGCGTCGCTGAGGTGCGCTTAATCTGATCTATACGACTACCACTCAGGATGATGCAGTTTTGCTGTGTTCATGTGTCTGCAGTGCGCGGGGATGCATCGCGGGTTTGGAGTGCATATAACGTGGGTGACTTGCTTGTCGGTTTGACGAGGCTGATAGGGTGCAGGTTCGTTCGGTCGCTGTCGATGGATACGTGGCAGGATGACCAGTTGAAGCGCATGCAGGTCGGTCGATCTGTGTCTGTGTGGTGATGCTCGTTGACGGTGGATGGTAGCTCGGTGGGAACGGCCCGTTTCGCGAGTTCATGCGGGGGTACAAGCCGGTGGAGCAGGGCGGGTACAGTGATTCGTTGAGTGTCCATGATACGTATCATTGTTGGGCGGCAAGTCAGTATCGGCAAAAGGTGTGTATTATATTAGGCGTTTGCTATTGCTAATGTGTGTGTAGCTTGATTACGAGTTGGTGGACAAGGAGTGGTCGCCGTCGCCCCCGCCAGAGCCCGCCTCGCCCGCCCTGCGCAAGTCGCGGAGAGGGGCCTCGTCATCGCCAGCACCGTCCGAGGCGCGAGGCGGGCGGTTTCAAGGCGAGTCGCCCAGAGGGACGCCCCCGCCTGTCCTTCCCCAGAAAGAGGCAAACGAACTCTACTTCAATTCCCTCGGTCAGGCCAATGCCAGCCGTCCAGACCACCTCCCTCCATCTCAAGGCGGACGCTACCAAGGGTTCGGGAGCACGCCCCAGCCATCGCAGAGTGCGCCCTCCACCACGACCATCCAAGACAACCCCATAGCCGCGCTGAGCAAAGGCTGGTCGTTCCTCTCTGCTGCAGTGGTAGGCGCGTCCAAAGTCGTCAACGAATCCGTCATCCAGCCCGGGATGGAAAAGGTGTCCGATCCGGAGCTCCAGAGGAACGTCAAGGGCTACTTGGAGGGTGCCAAGAAGGGCGCGGCGAGCGTGGGGAGCTCGGCGAATGCTTGGGGGAAGACCCAGTTTGGGGTCGATGTCGCGGGGAGTGTCGGCGAGGTCGTGGGCAAGCTGGGTGGCGGGCCGTCGAGGGAGGGGTATGGGGCTGTGCCGACCGGGTGGGAGGGCGAGCGGGGGGCGTTGTATGCAGAGGAGGACGATGACTTTTTTGAGCACACGACTAAAGCCCCGACGCCTCCCCCGAAGAAGGCGGGCGATGGCTGGGATGACGACTGGAAGGATTTTTAGATTACAGTTATTTATGGAAATTATTATTTATGTCGTCATACCCCGCATTCATCCCCGCATCCACCATGAACCGTATCATCCAGCTTGGACGGCGAGGATACCATGCCTCTGTCCTGCCTTCTCGTATATCGTCTGCATCTCCCGAGTTTGTCGCTAAAGCACAGGCAATGGACGACCTCGTCACGGATCTCGACGCCAAGCTTGCTAGGGCGAGGCTTGGAGGAGGCGGCAAGGCTGCAGAGCGAATGAGGAGCAGAGGAAAGCGCGTTCCTAGAGACAGGTGAGCGTCGTGTATCCTAGGCTCGCTATCTTATCTCCAACAGGCTCAATCTCCTCCTCGATCCACACACGCCCTTTCTCGAGCTCTCGGCTCTCGCTGCCCACGATGTTTACCCAGGCGACTACGTCCCTGGAGCCGGTATTATCACCGGCATAGGCAGAATAAAGGGAAGAGAGTGCATGGTGGTCGTGAACGACCCGACTGTAAAGGGCGGCGCGTACTACCCGCTCACCGTCAAGAAACACCTCCGTGCCCAAGAGATTGCCAGAGAGAACGGCCTACCCTGTGTTTACATCGGTGCGCCTTTTCGCCTTTTCCTCGACGTCTATCCAACAAATCCCAGTCGAGTCGGGCGGTGCAGCCCTCCCACACCAAGCAAACGTCTTTCCCGACAAAGACCACTTCGGGCGGATCTTTTACAACATGGTACGCGCCCCTTCCCGGCCCCCTGCACCTACTCACGCGTCGTAGGCCCAAATGTCCGCCCTCGGGATCCCCCAAATCGCCTCCGTCCACGGCATAAGCGTCGCAGGCGGCGCCTACGTCCCAGCGATGGCCGACGAGAACGTCATCGTGCAGAACCAGGGGCGCATATTCCTCGCTGGGCCCCCGCTCGTGCGGGCTGCGACGGGCGAGGAGGTGGGCGAGGAGGACCTGGGTGGCGGGAGGATGCATGCGACGGAGAGCGGTGTGACGGATCATCTGGCGCGGGATGATGATCATGCGATTGAGATTGTGCGGGGTGTCGTGGGGGATTTGGGGAGGGGTAGGGAGAGTGCGGTGGATGCTGAGCCGGAGGAGCCGTTGTATCCTACTAGTGAGCTTCATGGGATCGTGGGTACGGACGTCCGCCAGGCCTTTGATATGCGTGATGTCATTGCGCGTTTGGTTGACGGAAGTCGGTTTAGGGAGTTTAAGAAGGAGTATGGATCGACTATCATCACTGTGAGGTTATTCTTGTGTGTCGACTGCTACTCATATGTGTGCTAGGGCTTTGCGCATATACACGGCTACCAAGTCGGCATCATCGCCAACAACAGCATCCTCTTTTCCCCATCTGCCTTGAAAGCCACACATTTCATACAGATCTGCGAGCAGAGGGGGGTGCCGTTAGTCTTTCTCGTTAATGTCACTGGTGGGTGTACGTTTGTGTTGCCAGGATACATGTCATTAACTACGGTTGTAGGCTATATGGTGGGTTCCAAAGCGGAACGAGGGGGGATAGCCAAAGACGGTACGTAACCCCCCCCGTTCAATTGAGTGTGTGGTTCCGTGAACCTGGCGTGTTAGGTGCAAAGATGGTCAGAGCCGTTGCCTGTACGACCGTACCAAAGTTTACTGTCATCGTCGGTGGGAGCTTTGGAGCGGGGAATTACGGTGCGTCCATCCTACGCCCGCTTGCTTCATTTAGTTCATTAATTAATCCAGGCATGGCCGGTCGAGCGGTAAGCACCCCATCTCCACGACTTGACACTTGACGTTGACCGCTCCTCCTCGAAAGTATTCTCCGAGGTTCCTGTGGATGTGGCCTGTACGTTATTTCATTTTTTTGGTACTAGCACCCCGCTCATTAATCAATGGCAGAACGCAAAGGTATCCGTGATGGGCTCGGCACAGCTCTCGCAGGTCATGACGTCTGTGTCCAAGTACGTTGCCTATCCCTCCTTCTACTCCTCCTCCTGACTTCTCGCTAGGGACCCGACGCAGCATGCAGCGCTCAAGACGGAGATCGAGGAGCAGAGCACGGCGCTGTATTCGACGGCGAGGCTGTGGGACGATGGGATTGTGGCTCCGAGGGATACGAGGGACGTTTTGGGGTTGGCGTTGGGTGTTGCGGGGAGGAGGAGTGAGGGCGGGGCTGGGTTTGGTGTGTTTAGGATGTAGATAAGTACTTGTGTGAAGTGTACTACTGCCGGACAGATGTGGGGCTAGATAGAGTTTTACGTATGAAGGTATTCATGGCAACATGGCCGAGTGGTTAAGGCGCTAGATCCAGGATGCGATTGCGTAACCTTCTAGTTCGAAAGAGCGTGGGTTCGAGTCCCACTGTTGTCATCATCTATCAGATCCTTTTCTTTTTTGTTTGGATACTAGCCTATGCGGAATATACATGTAATTGTATTGAACTTTTATGCTTACCAAGCTGTCACATGATGTGTAAGTTACCTCGACGGAAAACCCCTCCAGCGAGGGGAGGTAACTTACCGGTAATAAACCCAAGTGTAACGAAACCCAGGTTTCGTGCGCTACCCTATTGGATACTTCACATGACTGACGGGCCTCAATTGCTGAATTTTTCTAAAATCTTCATCTTCGTGTTTTTATACATGTTCTTGCTGTAATTCAGCGAAATTCAGTTGTAAAGACAGCTCATATGTAAATATACAATCTAACTTGAAATATGCACCTAATAGTACTGAATTGTTCTGCCCAACTACCTGTCACATGACAGGTAAGTTACCTCAACGAAAACCCTTCTGGTGAAGGGGTGTAAGTTACTAGTAACTTACCGGTAATAAACCTAGGGTTTCGTGCGCAACCCTAGCGTACTGGGTATATTTATGACTGTATTTTGTAAGAGAGGCATAGATACAGTGAATTGCCATTGTTGCACCTACCTGTCACATCACAGATAAGTTAGGCTTTAGCTCGATGAAAATTCCTCCAGCGAAGGGATGTTATTCTGCGGCAAGCACCTTTTCATACTGAGGGTTTGAGTCTCACTCGGGGCATTTGGAACGATCAATCGGGCATAATGTAGTTTTACTCAATCAACAGATTTTTCGGTCCCAGACTCGAGTACAACATCGCACCTGTGATTTATCCATGATGTATGTATGTACTATTCCTGTTTCTGAGTGGGTCAGTCCTTCTCCTTTATTACTGGACTCAAAATCAAAATCCTGCTTCCTTGATTCGTCGTCTCCTCCCGGTGACTGAGAAGACTTGTTCCAAGTTGACGGGCTGAGGCTGGGTTCCGCCAGTCGCTCCTCCTTCGACGGTGCGGAAGAAGCCACTATTTTCGTTGCCGTGCGCCTCCCAAAATGCATCTTGTATAATTTTTTTTTTTTTTTTTGCAAGGCAGGGCTCAGGTACCAGACTGAGGAGCGGTAAACCCGTAGGTTCCGGCTCTGTGCTGCACTGGAAGCTTGAAGACCTGTTGTTGTGACACGACTGGGACAGCGGTATAATATTCGATCACTGTTACTTTGTAATTTGTATGGCAACTTTGGTTTACCCACTGGTAGGAATGGGTTCGAATCCCAGCGTTGCCATGGTCGATTGGACATATGGTCTTCAACTTTTTGAGCCAAGACTCGTGTATGCAACTTGCGCCGGGCGCATAGACTGTGATGTATAGCACATCATGTAGTATTTTCTTGCAGGTCATGACATCCGTACGTGTGTCAGTCCTTCGCCTTTATTCCTGGATCCGAAATTAGATTTCCTGGTTTGCTTTCAAACTGCTTCTTCCAAGTCGGCGAGCACACCGTCTCCTGTGGCGGCGGGCGATGTTAGATACCCTGATTCGTTCCGCCAACGGCTCTTCCTTCCACGCTGCGGAAGAAGCCGCGTTTAATTCTCTTTTCGGTGCCGTACGCCTCTCAAAATGCAGTAGATGCATTCCTTCGAGGGTCGGGGCCCCTTCTTCAATGGCGAGGGTCTTGCTGGAATCAGGGGCGGATCGCGTGAATGGAACATTCAGAAATAGACAGAACAAATAGAGTGCGATTATATCGTGCGAGTTGATGGCAAGATGACTAGGGCGCCGCAGGAGGAATAAGCCTGTTGCGAATGTTGGTCAATACTAAGCATACAGTAGGTCTACTCCTAGGAACCAGACAATTATGAAATTAGCATGAGTCCCGTATGCTCGAGCAGGTTGTCGCCTGTAGAGTAGTTCGGCGAACCAATGGAATGGACTTGAAAAAGAAAAACGTCTGACACGAGTCTTGACTTGAACGGGAAAAGAACTTTTCTCTGAAATGCTGCTGCATCGAAGAGATGGTCGTTTAGGCGAGGGTCTGCAGATAACATGTTGCAGAAGATCCTTGAGAAAGATTTATTGCAGATACGGAATACCGATATAGTGTTATCAGATACAAGGTCCAGAAGACAAAAGATTCCAAATGCAGCCCCAGGAACTTTCAGACCAATTTCGTGGGATGATAACAGGATGGCAGATAACAAAGAACACCTAGAGATAGCTTAGTCGCCGCAGACGTCGCAGAGCTTTGCGTCACGGTATCGTTCCATTTGTACTCGGCTTCCTATAGACTCGAAAAAGAAGTGCTTGGACTGATCGCGGTAGGAATTCGAGCGGACCGGGTGATACATTCTTTCGTGAACCGGCACAACAGTGATAATTGCTGTTCGAGAACCGGTGGCATACCACACCAGAATAGCGGTATAAGGGTTGAAGCTCGAGTCATGTTCGCAAGCGAGGCAGCTCGAACCCGACGTGGCTGTGCATTTAAACGCGCTTGCCATTAAACCAGCATCATCGACATCGAGGTCCAAAAGTCAATCCAAAGCAGGTGGTGTCGGCATATCGCGCAAGCGCCGCGTGACTAGATAATTGATCGTCGAGTGTTCCGCTGTTTTGGGTCACTCTCTCATCACTACTCTCTCCTTCACTCCTCCTTCCTCCTCTCTCCTCTCAGCACCTGGATGATCCAACAAACGAATGCTCGTCAGTCTGGGTCAGGCCTTCGTGTAGGGGCCGTGGATGGGTCAGAACTTACATGGGGCCAGTGGTCTGGACGAAAGTCAGCGCTTATTTCCACCATTGTCTAAATTTGTGTCTGATTTTCCGCAGGTTATACGCACTCGAGGTCATTCAGAACCCACTAAGAGCTAGGATGTGTGGATTCGGGGACAAGGTGAGCTGGTTTATTTGGAGATGTCAATTGGAAATCAATCTGTATGCAGGATCGAAGACCGCTAGCACCAGCAGCAGTAGTGAAGATGGTAGTCAAGCGAGAAGACGACAGTATAGTCGACGTCGAGTGCGTGCCTCTTTTTGTACAGAGTACCGTGGTTTACCTCCCCTCAGCGACGTGGATTGTTCCTTCTTCCTAGTAACGGTCGATCTCTGGTCTGGGGACGGGAAACAAGAAATGAATCTAGTCCTGCATCCTTCATCGTCCGAGCGATACGTCCAACAGACCCCAAAGTCAAGTAACAACACCAGGCGGCGTACATCCAAAAGTGGACAGGCGCCCAACCCGACTCGAACACCCACGCCAACACCGACGCCGACGTCCCCCGAGCAGCCCTACCCACCATACCCACCGCCTGCCGACCTCGCTTATTCGGAGAATACCCCGACATGGGGCTACCCCAGCACGTCTTTCCCACAGCCGCCCCAGCAACCTCCCCAGTCATTCGGCCGAGAACCATGGCAAGTCGACCCCGACAATTCCGAAGGGCCTGAATACCGTCCATGGACTGCAGAGACTTACTCCAATTCACCACCCAACCCAAATTCTAATTCAAGTCCAACTTCGTATTGGGAATCGGCTGCTCCCGCCCCTACGTCTCCGTCTATAACCAAGGAGAAACGACCCCCGCCTACGCCCTCGATACCACCTCTTCCCCGACACACCTACACGCGTACCCTCGTCGGTCCGTTATCCGCCAATGCAACCCGCCTTCTGGACGAACATCGCAAACCCGGGATATTCTTCCTCTTCCAGGATTTGTCCGTTCGCACTGAGGGTACATTTCGCCTGCGTCTGAGACTCATGAACGTCGGAGCTCCGCCTGCACCTGAAGCGGGGGCGTCAGCAGTGCATACGGACGTGTCACCCGTGCTGGCGCAGACGTTCACCGAGCCGTTCACGGTGTATTCGGCTAAGAGGTTTCCTGGCGTTCCGGGTATGTGTGTGTCTTTTGGAGGTTGTGTGGTGATTGATGGTTCTTTGTAGATACGACGGCGTTGTCTATTGCTCTTGGGAATCAGGGACAGAAGCTCCCTTTGGTGAGTCTTGGGATATGTGATGCGTTTGTGTTGTTGTTAATGGTATTCTTTGAACTTGCAGCGGAATCGGCATGGCTCGAATAAGAGACGGCGGCACGGTTCTGGTTCGGAGGAGGATTCGGATGCGGAGTAGAATAAAGTGGTGATGTAGATTCCTTCACGTTCGTTCAGGTCTGATTTATTGCTATATTTTTGTATATCGGAAGAATTTATGGTATCTTTATGGTGATGTTTTGTTAGTCTGTGACTCTAGCATGTAAACTTCTGCTGTTTGTTGATTCTTGTGGTACGTCGATATGCCGCTCTCCTTTTTTCTTATCTAATTCTTGGGTTTAGGTATTGTTGGTCCGAGGTTAAGTCTCGTCTCTGCAAGCATGGCCTTATCGTTAAGCGCGACTCGGAATGTTCCTCAAGGTGGATGTACTCTGTACAGTATTGTTTTTCGATTCCGTCTGGCAGGCCGGCGGTTCTCAGATCACTCAAAAGTATCCGTGATGCTCTCACAGGTTTTGACATCCGTGTCCAAGTAGGATTGTCTTCCTTAGTCGAGTTGCCGGTCCGTCTGTGAACGGGACCTAGGGAAGGAGGCGGATATTGAGGAACAAAATGATACTGTGAGAACCATCTTTTGCGATTGGCAGTCTGGCAGGAGAATTAGTAGGTCGGCCATATATCTTCGTGCTCGAGATATCTCTTGGCATTGATGCAATATTGATGATCTGTATCCTACATAAATCGGGAACCTCGGTCACTGGTCTAGTCTCACCGGGATTGAATACCAGGCTGTTGGTTTCTAGTTGTTGTCTTGCCGGTGCCATCATGATATGCTTATGTGTGCTCGGTCTTTCGTTGCCTCGAGACCCAGTATCATTCAAAAATGCCAAACCCAGAATTTCAATTGCTCTCGCCTGGATTTACTTCCCTTGCCTGTACAAAAAAAAGCCGTAATTCGTGCCGTTGAATACATGGGTTATCGCTTCCAATTGATTAGGAATTCGTTCGGAATGGCAGTTTCGCTCTTGCAATTACTTTTATTATTAGTGCAGCGGCGGATATTCGACCCTGCAAGGCT